GGGCGGGGCGGGGCCTTGTGCACCTTCCAGATACGAACTTTTCCGGCGCCGTCGGCTCTGGGTTTTGCCGAACGGGCTGAGAGTATAGCGGTTTAATCCTAATTAAACAATTACGCGGCGGTAGCCGTGTGCCTGCTTGGCTCCGCTCGGGCGGGAGCTGGTGCCAACTGAAGTCGCGGCCTGATTTCCCCACACACGCACTTAATTGTGTCAGGCGAGGCCCCTGGTGACTGGAAAAAGGGAAGCATTGCACCCATTTTTCAAATGCGTAGAAAGGAGGATATTGGGAACTACGACCCTGTCAGCCTCACCTCTGTGCCTCGGTCATGGAACAGCTCCTCCTAGAAGCTAAGCTAAGGCACATGGAGGACAGGGAGGTGATTCGAGACAGCCAGCATGGCTTCACCAAGGGCAGGTCCTGCCTGACCAACCTCGTGGTCTTCTACGATGGAGTGACTACGTCAGAGCACAAGGGAAGAGCTACGGCTGTCATCTTTCTGGACTTCTGTAAGGCCTTTGACATGGTCCCCCCCAACATCCTTCTCTGTAAATTGGAGAGATATGGATTTGATGGGTGGACTGTTCAGTGGATGAGCAATTGGGTGGATGGTCACATCCAGAGGGTGGTGGTCAACAGCTCAATGTCCAGATGGAGACTGGTGACAAGCAGTGTCCCTCAGGCATCCGTATTGGGACCAGGACTGTCGAATATCTTCATCAATGACATAGATTGTGGGATCGAGTGCACCCTCGGCAAGTTTGTGGACAACACCAAGCTGTGTGTTGTGGTTGACACGCCTAAGGGATGGGGTGCAATCCAGAGGGCCCTGGACAGGCTGAAGTAGTGGGCCCGTGTGAACCTCATGAGGTTCAACAAGGCCAAGTGCAGGGTCCTGCACCGGGATCAGGGCAATCCCCGGTATCAATGTAGGCTGGGGGATGAAGGGATTGAGAGCAGCTCTGCCAAGAAGGACTTGGGGTTACTGATGGATGAAAAGCTGGATGTGAGCAGACAATGTGTGATAGCAGCCCAGAAAGCCAACCATATCCTGAGCTGCATCAAAAGAAGTGTGTCCAGCAGGTTGAGGGAGGTGATTCTGCCCCTCTGCTCTGCTGAGACCCCCCTGGAGTATTGCATCCAGCTCTGGGGCCCTCAGCACAAGAAGGACATGGACCTGTTAGAGCAGGTCCAGAGCAGGGACACAAGGATAATCAGTGTGCTGGAGCACCTCTCCTACGAAGACAGGCTGAGAGAGTTGGGGTTGTTCAGCCTGGAGAAGAGAAGGCTCCAGGGAGGACTTATTGTGGCCTTTCAGTACTTAAAGGGGGCCTACAGGAAAGATGGAGACAAACTTTTTAACAGGGCCTGTAGTGATAGGACAAGGGGTAATGGCTTTAAACTAAAGGAAGATTGATTTAGACTAGATATAAGGAAAACATTTTTTACGCTGAGGGTGGTGAAACACTGGCCCGGGTTGCCCAGAGAGGTGGTTGATGCCCCATCCCTGGAAACATTGCAGGTCAGGTTGGACGGGGCTCTGAGCAACCTGATCAAGTTGAAGATGTCCCTGGCCATGGCAGGGGGGTTGGACTAGATGGCCTTTAAAGGTCCCTTCCAACCCAAACCGTTCTATGATTCTATGACACCTGATACACACAAACCTATTTCCCTGAAGCTGAGGGCTTCAGAGAGTCTGCTGTTGAAGCCCAAGCCCCCACAATTCAGGCTAAAGGAGCTACTTTAACAGTCAGTGGAGCAGTACAAGGTTTTCTCAGGCTATTTTTGTTAAACACCTGATGGTGGCAGCAACAGAGATCACCCTCACCAAGAAATGTCAGCTTCCCGCTTCCCTGTTTTAGGCCACGTGCTTTGGAGCAGCACAGGCAGCATGCACGACCCAGAGTACTGAAAATCAATCACTTTCTCAAAGTCCATTTTTCTTTTCTTAGCTTCTTTTGGTGTGTTTCTTCATCTAAGTAGTCAAATCAAGTTGAACCCAGTTTCACTTCTGGGTTTTGGTAATTTCTGTTTTAATATTCGTATCTATAAATATCCACACCCTTTTACGAAGGGGAGATCCCAGCTTGTGAACCAGAGAGAAGTCTGGCTCCACTGGCAGGATAAGCTCAGCCATTAGCATCTGGGGCCAAAGCCAAAGGCAGCCAGAGCACTGTCCGCTACATCCCAGGCCCCTGGGACGAGCTCAATGGATACTGCATCTATACTTCTGGACAAATTAGCAAATTTATTCCTGGTACTGATCTGGCTGGCATGGTCTGGTCACCTATGTAACAGTAAACTCTCTGAGCCTTCAAAAGAGTGAGGTTGTGTGCAACTATCTGTTCGGGTTGGTCATTAGCCAGTAATTAACTCTCTAAAATGCCCAGGAACTGTTTTCAGCAGTGTTAGTCGGTGTTGTGCAAAAGCACACTGAGACCTATCTGACCATTTAATATCATCACCAGTTTCACTCGCTGGTTCCTTTCTGTGGCTCTCCTGAATTTATTCATCTGGATGTAGCCAATGACAGCTGGAAATGTGGCTCTGATAATCTTCTTGAAAACTATAGTGCCCAGCAGACCTTCCAGAATAACGTTATATGCTCATATGTGCACAGAGATACTGGATGGCTGGCTGGGCTTGTGATGAAGATGGAGGTGTCCTGCACAAGGGTGCAGAGGCAAACTGTTCCTGTAGCCACGGTGAGATAAGGGGGAAGAAAATGTAGGCACTGACCTAGCGGATTTGGAGTCAAGGAACCTTATGTACCCCTTGCTTCTCATTAGCGCTTCGTTAAAGGAAACCTGAAAGTGTGTGAGAGAGGAGTTGAGTTTCGACTCTTGCTGATGAACCAGGGCTGCTTGAAAGTGCGAGCTGGATGAGGACTCTGCTGGGAAGGTCACTGGCTGAGTGAGTGGGTCCGGATGGCTGAGATACTCAGCTTATTTGCATGTCTGTTACTTAAAAGTTAGGGGTATTCTTGCTTAAAAACCCCTCAAAGCCTAAAAGTGGAAGCGAGTTAACGATTTGTATGTTACAAAATATGTCAGATGCAGTGTGGGTGAGCCGTGCTGTAGCCTGCAGCCCTGGGAGATGGAGTGGGAAGGAGCGGTTGTTGAGAGACGTGTCCGCGGTAGAGATTTGGAAGGTCTTTGTGCCACTGCTGAGAGCTGCCAGCAGAGCAGTGAGGAGCGGGGCTGAGCCCGGGACACCTGCAGAGCAGTGACTGTTGGTGAAGAGGAGCAAAGAGACATCAGCCATTACCTGGGTCGATTCCCGGAATGCAGTGCAGAATGGCACGTCTGCGTTCACGGCTGCTGGTGTGGCACAGCCCCTCAAACGGAGGGACGTGCTCGCCCAGCAGACTGTGTGCCTGGGGACAGCTGGGCCACAGCGGTTCCTTTCCCTCAGCTGTGGGAGCTGTATTGTGGCAGCAAAAAAAAAAAAAAAGGCTATTGCTAGGATTTCCTGAGGATGGTTGTTTCACCCACAGATGATTATTCACAACTTCTAAATTGATGTATTCTAAAATGGTGTCCTTCCCCCCTCCCCGGAAAGTTACGTTTTGTTTAAAACTCTTTGTTTAAACACTTGGCTTGCAGGTGGGGAAATATTGCTCATGCTTTGTTATGAAGACGGCATAATTCAGCTTCTCAGACTTCTGGGCAAGAGCTTGAACTACTGCCATTTAACAGGGGGTTTATTTTCCATTTTGCTTTTTACTGGGCATCCCTACAATTGGAAGATAGACCTTGTCATTGCCAAAGCGCACCTGGCAAAAGAGTTGTTCCTTTTTCCTCAGCTCTGGCACAGGCTAGAGCAGCTGCTAAACCTAGTTCTTCTTGCCATCCAAAGTTCAAAATAAATCTACCAAGCAGTACTATATGCGCATCTTTTTCCAAATCTTGCTGGTTGTATGCTTTGCTCTCTCCCACAGGCTTTTCCCTGGCTGGACAGGCCCCAGTCTCTTATCTCATTCTGCAGTGAGGGACTGCTGGTTCATACTGGTGCAGCACGAGCTCAGCAGTGCACAGACGCGTTTGGATGTGAAGTATTAGAGTCTTTAAGCCTGATTCAAATTGAGACCTCTGAAGTTGTTGAAAGACTTCCCAGGGATTTCAGCAGGCTTTAAGGAGAAGTTTTTATTGTTACAAGGTGCAGAGCAGTGGATAAGGCACTTGACCAGATAATGGGAGATGTAAATTTTATTTTTGGTTAGGATACTTACCTGCCTGCCCTCACTTTGTACCTCTTTTTTCCTTTCTGGGAATAATTAAATATGCCTTTCTGGTAAAAAACATTGAGATTTATTGATAAAAAGTGCTAGATAATGCTTGTGTGTTGTTACTATTATTGTTTTGTGAGAGTTAGTTTTTAAAGAGCTCTTTGAAAGACCATCATTAACACAACAAAATATTAGTGAAAAAATAGCCGCTTCTTGCTAAACTTGATGAAAGGGGTAAGCAAATCTCAAATCAGATTTGCTGCCATGGGTCATTGAATGGCAGATTCTGTGCAAAGTACGGGATGCGTATGTCTGCTTGTTTAAAAACTAAAATCTGCTCATCTTCTGGAAGGTTATTTTATACCATGTGCTCAAATTCTGTAATGATCATTTGTCCTCTACCTTGAGGAAATAGATAACTGGAAAAAAAAAAAAAAGAAAAAGGTTTGGAAATGGAAAGAAACAACAGAGGCATAAACATTTTTATCTAAACCAAAGCAAAAAGTTCGGTTTAGACAACATGATGCATCACCCCATGGCTGTTGGTAGATGGCAGCCTCTGTCCTTACGCAAAGGGGCTCTGTAAAAGGTTACAGCTGCCCGCAAATGCGTTCTCATAGGCCTGTGTGCTCCCACCTGCTGATACCGAATCTCAGCAGGAGGCGAAAGAATTTGCCCGTTTGTAGAAATAAGTTTCAGAAGCAATTCCAAACACAATCCAGCTTAGAGCTAATCGTGAACAGGCTTTACTGCATTAATTGCATATTATAACATGGATTTAGGAGATAGCTGCTGTTAGGGTATGTTTCCAATTGATAAGTATAGGCAAAAGCCTTTTTGACATCTGGTTCACTGGGGGGTCTTATCCAGACATTTCAAGCAGGCTGTGCTGAGGCTAAGTGGTTTTTCTGTGGTGGCAGGATAAAACTGGGTGTGTTGCTGCTGTGTTTCTGGCTGGAGCTGCGTGAGCCCACCCTACCGATGACTCATCCCTTAGAGTGGCTCAGAATATCACACTCTGCCTTGCTGCTTTCCTATTCTTATTACACTGATGCATTTGGGTCTCGCACGGTGTTGGCGTTTCATTTACAAACCTCTCTTTTCCCATAAAGGGAAGATGGCTGCCAGCCCTGCTTTATCCTGGTGTTTGGCACTCAAAAAGATTTTTTTCTGAGCCTTTCCTGATCCTGACTTTGGATGAAGATGTTTTATTTAAAAGCAGAACAACAAAACACATTAAGCACCTTAGAAAGCACGTTTTTTTCAGAGTTTAACTGGGTTTTGGTAGCCTCTCTTTTTTTTTTTCCTTCCAAAATTGGCTGCTTCTGCATATGATTCAGACTAAATTTTCTTTTTTCTCCCAGCAAGGACTGAATCAGGATCTTTAGGCCAGCAAAAAAGACCTGTGGTCCTTCCCTGACACCCTGTCTTTGAGTCCCTGCTTGAGTATTCCAGCACCAGAGTTTACAACAGTGACTAGAATAAGATAAGCAGTGGAACAGACTCACAGGTCTCCTGTGTCTTTCTCCCTCACTCACAGAGAACCTGACTGCTCCATTAAATCAGGTGTGGACATACCTTGAAATTAAAGGACTGTGTTTGTCACAAGAGAAAATAGATATAAATAAGTCTACCTCTTTCTAATATTTTTAAATTTTGTTGTTTTCCTGAACCAGTGTTCCAGGTGACACAAAAATGAAGATACCAACAGCTATGAAGAAGTCATGAAGTAAGACTCCAGTGCTGCAGTGGGTTCTGCAAAGCCCAGCTGATGGACTTTAAGGTGAGTAGGTCTGTGCAGTGGCACTTGCTCTGGCAATCCATGGGGGAGCCACATCCATAAAAGGGGCCATCCGTCCGAGGACTGCACTGAAGCAGACCCTTGTTATGTATCAGTGGTATATTCAGGCTTAAAAAACTAGCAGAAAAGAGAGATGCAGTGGAGACTGGTTTTGTTTTTCACAGTAGGGCATTGTGCTAGTGAACACACCTCCCTCCATGTCCTAGTATGCCCCATTGACTCAGATTTATTGGAAACAAGTTTTATTTTGTTAAACACTGCAAGAATCAGTAAGAAAGCCCACTCCATTGTTCTTACTGATAAACATGAAGTCAGAATTGCTGCTCTCCATTGTAGATGTGTAACTAAGACAAACATGTTATTGCAGAATCTCAGCAGTCCGGTAGCAGAGCTCAGCTTTCCACTCCCTGCACTCAGCCACATTTAAGTTATGTGACTGTTCCTAGTCCACTTCAATGCAAAGTCATCCAGCTTAGTTGAAATAACCACTCTGGCAGCAGCACAACACTCCGTTCGATTGTTGCCCCCGTTGCTGAAGGCACTGTGTAACTGTGCCTTTGGTTGCCAGGAACGTGGAGTGCTTCAGAGCTGCACCGTTCATGAACACTAGGTAGCTCCGTGGGATTTCCGAACACTGTATAGATCTGTTGTAACTCTTCTGATAAATCTATTTACCCTTTCAAGAATTAAATAAGTGTTCACGAAGTATACAGGACAACATCGGCATGCTGGAGTCCCACAGGGCGACACTGCAGATGACTGTGTGTGCCTTCCACTTGAGTATATAAAGGTACATATAGATACTAGATAAAAGAGGAGCAGTAGAGCCCTCAGGTTCACATGCTGATTTCCAAGGGCAGCACAAATTAAGATCTTCAAGATCTTCCCTCTTCATTTTGGAGTCTCCCATGAAGGTAAATCCCTCCCCGCTGACCAGCCTGACCCTGGGATGTGGCAAGCACGCTGATACTCTGTTGCTGTCAGCAGAATTTGGGCTTGCTGCTGCAGCAAGGGCTGGTTCACAAAATGGGGACTGAGACACGTGTGTTCATTTTTCCTTTGGAGAGAGGGGTTGCTTGTAGAGTTAAAAACCTTGTATTAAAAAAAAAAAGGCATAACTGTGTCTTCCAACACCAGCCATGTTCTGATGCCTGTGTTGTCCCTGGGATGACTGTAAGTGGGAGGCTGGGCAGGGATGTGAAATGCACTTATAACCTGAGCATAATCTGCTCTGTTTACAAACGAGCATCAGTCCTTGCACACAAGTGGTCAAACAACAAGCAGGGCAGGCACTCCTTAGGAACCTCATCTCTATGCTAAGGCTCTGGTTTCCAGGAAGCAATTTTTCCCTTAAGAATTATTTAATCAGAGAAAAATCTTCCGGTACTTACAGACACAACTGCTGCTATATAGAACTTGGCATTACAAAGAAAGTAACCACAACATGGCACGGCTTCCAGAGGCTGAACATTTTCTGAAGAAATAGGAGAGAGGATGTGAAAGATTGTACACAGCAGTGCCACCTGCTATGCACAGTATCTTCCAAAGTTCTAACCCTTGACACTTAATCAGGTACAAAAGGCATTTATTATAGACATTTTATTCTAATGCCCAAGCTATTATTCATGAAATGCATTTATTTCCTGTGTTCAGAAAATGTGTTCTAGGCAGTCTGCAAGTCCTGCTATCACAAGTCATTTCTGCCTGGCTGTAGAAAAAAAATATGATTGGTACAATAGGAAAAGAAGAAAAAAGAAAAAGTAGCATCTATGCTCCACTTATAAGAAGGTGCTTGTTAATTTGATTTTGCTTCACGTGGGTTTAATCAATGCAAACACAGATGGGGGAAGAGTGTTAGTGAGAGTAATGGGTCGTTTTTATTCCTCTTTCTTTGCCTGACCTGCTGAATCGATCTACCCTGTTGCCAGGAAAATCCGAATCATGCTGCCACGAGCATCTCTCCCATTTAGCCAGAAGAGAATTTATGTTGGAACCTAGAGCTTAAAATTCACAAACTTTCCACAAGCGGCTGATGTCTCACGCAGCTGCTTATCAAGATAAAAAAAAAATAATAAAATAACGGTGTGGCAGAGGAGATGCGATTCCCTCGGGTTACTTCCTTCGATCCTTTTAAGATCTCCGGAAAGTCGAGAAGCCCGTACCTCCAGCGCCGGGCTCCCCGGCCCGGCCCGGCTCCGCTGCCGCGGGGTGGCGCCCGGTACCAGGGCTGCTCCGCGCAACGCTCCGCGCATCGCTCCGCGGCCTCCCCCCGCTC